ATGGCTTTCGGCATGCGCTGGAGGCAAGCCAATCGCTCTCGTCTGGCTCGGCGTAGAGTATGCGATAGTCGTGGCCCCGCTGGACCTAGCCGCAGCTTGCATGGTCGAAAACGGCTGCGTAGGTGTAGGTGCTGGATCTTCCGGAGACGGGCCAACTGAGTGGTATTCATATTCCAACTTTTGGCTTGCGCTCAGTGTTTGGGACTCGATGTACATCGAAACAGGCTTCTGGCCAGAGACGAGGTCGCCAAACGACGGTACCGCGGCTGCGTGTGGGACCACCACCATGTCAATGTCGTCTTCCTCGGCCGGTAACGACGAGTCCGGGTTCCTGAGTCTGGCCCTCTTCCCGTTCTCCATCCTCGCGACGGCCGGGGTAGTGTCGAATGGCTGCGTGGAGCCCTGTGAAGGCATATCGATAGCCACCGGAGACGTGAACTCCACGTTGTTCACTCGCTTTCTTTTCGTCCCGCTGGTTGAGGTTCTGCTCTTTGCGAGACTGGCGAGAGGCGCTCGGCCGTCCCCGACGGGGCTGCTGGGAACATCCCACATATCGTCGGGAGTTGCATGAGCAACAGTCATCTTGGGCGACGCTGTGACTTCCGTAAGGTCCACCACCTCTGGTTCCCTTTCCTCGGCGCTGTCCAACCCCGCAATGAGGTCGCTGGCTGAGGTGAGCGAGGAAGTACCGGTGTCGTTCCTCTCCAATTGCGGTCTGTCCGCTACTGGCATAGCTGGTATAGAGCTGGGCGCTGCACCGTTGGATAAGGAAGATTCGTCTGGTTTTCGCAACGTGTCGCTGGCCACTGCCGCACGCTGTTGCTCAGTGTAGATGGCCTGGAAGAACTTAGGGTCGGTAGAGTTGGTCGCGACACTAAAGGGGTCGGAGGAGCGGTCTTGGCTCGGTATCGCGGAAGTCGTAGTAGGTTTCGAGGGACTGTTTGGTGATTCGATATCATCGTCGGAATCGTCCGAGTCCGCGATGATTCGGGCCGGAGCCATTGTCGCGGTGTGGCGAGAAGATCGCGACGTGGGGAGGGTCGAGGCACGCGCCTAGCTCGGGGGCGAATTATGAAAGGTACTGTTGTGTACATGGACAAAGTTCCCCTCAACATGCTAGAGTGCTATCGTTATGGCGGAATACCCTTTTCGGATAACGCGATATCACGTGATGCGCTATATACATATTATGCTACTATATGATTTCCGTGAGTCGGGTGTCCGGTCCCTCGAGTCTAGCCGTTCTACCTAGCCCGGATCACTTTAACACTTCGTTGAACCCTTCAATGAGGTTCTTAGCTAGAGGAAGATAAGACCAGCCAGCAGGATCTCCAGAATTTGACTTCCTTTTGTTCTCAATCAGGAGGCAAGTTACGGATTCGCTGACTAAACTACTCAATCTCTTCTATCCTAGGACGCTTCGTATTGACAGAAGGGAGTGATCGGTCTTGGTCGATGGTCAAGCCTGCCAGTCTCCCAATACTTGGTTCTCCCGTGTTGTATTCCGAAGCGACCATGGAGGACAGTTGCCAATTCTCCAAACTTTCAATCACATCTCGAGCGTGCTGCTGAACTAGACCATCATTGTCTGTGACTGCAACGTATTTCAGAGTCCGCGTAATGTCCTCCCGGCTCTGGTCGGTCAATCCGAAACCGAGCCTCCTACCTGATTGTTTGGCAGCATCAAGGGCCTTGACGAAGCCCAGAACAGCCAAGATGGCTGCACGCCGGATGATCCCTTTTTCGATTTCCCGCTCCAGCGCCAGCACATTGATGCAGAGGTCCACTGCGATGGACACGAGGTCAGGCCCAATGCCCGCAATATTGGTTTCGAGGCCGACGGAGAAGATCGAAAGAGCAGATGCTCGCATACGGACGTCTTCGCTGCCTCTCTTGCTCTCCCACCCCTCAACAATCTGGGTCAGTATCTCGTTCTTGGCCAGCTCTTCGTCGGTCAGATCATCACTGAGATCTGGAACATCCCCTCCCCACGCATCCTCCGCCTGCTTCTTCTTCATGTCCTGCAGGCGTTTTTCCCGGGACTGCTTTGCCTCCGTCTTTGGTCGATGACCTCGCCTTCCAGCAATCGACAGCAACGTTTCAGACACACGCCTCGCAACGTCACCGGCAAAAGTCTCGCCGAGGCGCTCAATCACTTGAACCAAGGCCTCTCCGAAGCGTAAGCGGACATCCGTTGACGAGGTTTCCTTCGAGTCCAGGTAATGCTCAAGAATATCCTGTGTAGTTGCTTTGGGGTGTTTGTTCGCCAGTTGCGTCAGAAGCTTCACAACCCGGAGATTGATAAAGTCTTCGCTGTCTTGAAGTAGAGACGAAAGGAGAACGAGGGTGGCTTGCACGTCCAAGACAGAACTATCAGAGGCCACTAGGCCCGATATCAAGTTGATTCCCTCGGAGCGGATCGGCGGAGGATTATCTGCTTGAGTAATGTACTCCAGCGCAAGCTTGTACGTTCGCCTGTCCTCAATCTGCTTATCGGTAGGCACAAAAGCGCCCTCTTCTGCGGGATCGATAGCCTCACGGTATCTTAGTAAGAGCGTCAGGTTCTTCGCTGTAGGAGAAACTTCAGGGCGTCCCGCTGCGCCAAGTTTAGCAAGGGACGTTTCAAGAGCTTGTAGAACTTCAGTCTTCAGGTTTGACTTTTTGAAGCTTGGGGCTGTGATGACTAAGTTGAACAAGCTTAAAGCAACCGCGATGATGTCGTCAGACTGGTCTTGGAGGCCGCTGGGATCCAGGATCTGCGCCACCAGCTCAGTAACTTGCGTTACGCGGCTGATCAGCTTGTCTGGGATTTGTTCCAGCATCTTCTGCAAGATTGTAATCTCGAGAAGTTGCTTGATATCACCCTGAGCCTGGCTGTCTTCCGCTTTGGTGAGAATTTCTGGCTTTCGGGTTGTGACCGTTGATTGGAAACATCGGCCAAGGAGGTCCAGAAAGAAGGTCGATGTTTCTTCGGGTGTGCAACTCGCCGTCAAGAGACGTATGAGAGCCTCGGAGCGTGTCTGGATCTCAGTCCAGTCTAGTTCTGGGGCTTGTGATCCCTGGCCCAGCCGAATGGCACATATTTGAAGATCGCCGTCAGAATTCGATTGATATCGCCACTGTGGTGTTTTGGTATACTCTCCTTGATATAGCAGGTTATCGACGACCTCATGTAACTTCGACGCCGAAACACTTAGTTTCAGAAATGTGTGAAGCAATGATCTCGATGGCTTCGAATATCGGTCCTCGGTTCTTTTGTTGCCCTTGCTCTGACACGATATAGCCCATAGTTGTGCGAGAACCGGGTCAAGCATTCTTTTGGTCTGTGCTGGGTACGGTGTGGAGTTAATCATCGACGACATGCGGCGCAATGTGATGAAGAGATCGTCGGCAGTAACCAGGACGGCCTTTTCACTCAAATCAACAATCTCGGTTTCTTCGGTTTTGATGTGCAGCGCAACATTGTTGCTTTTGCGAGATGGATCCAAGTTGCGCAACAGAGGCTCAACAAAGACATTCCACCCAGGTGTTCCTGAAGCAGCGTCAGCATGGCTTCTAGCCTCTGGATAAGGCAAGGCTACTACCTGGTGCGCCAAACTGTTTCCTACCCAGTACTCCAAACATGATAATCTGTGCCGCTGCTACACCAAGTTCTGCCCCTTCGTTTCCATCCAGCAGCACAATCAACTGGGGCGCAACCTTTGAGAACCAATCTTCAGGTGGTACAGTTGCTGGTGGGGAGGTGAGAATACGAGTGACGACAGCCATGGCTTCCTGGGTGATATTGGCGCCTCTTTTCTGAGGAGTGGCTGCCTCGGATGCTTTAAGGGTGCTGCTCGGGTGCACTGAGAAGATGAACTCCATGGTTCCTCTCACGCCGTCAGGTCGGAGAGGAACCAGGGTCAGTATCTTCATGAGCTCTGGTCGTAGCCATTCTGGCGCAATTTTCGGCTTGATCAAGGCGTTCAAGACAGGCAGTAAGTTCCAAGAGCCATTCCTAGTCCCTCGTCAGAAGGTTTCGCCTGACATGGGGCCTCACTGCACCCACGTACCCGTCGATGAGCTTTTGAAATTCTTCTTGGGCGGCTGTTCGAGAAGCAGCGTCGGATGACGGATCAAACGCCCGCTTACCGGTGCTGAGAATTTCGTCGGCTAATTTGGAGCGAGGGTCCTTTTCAGGTGTGTTTGGTTCCATCTTTGCTGGATGCAGAGTCGAAGATATTGGATTTACACTTGCTTTAGTAATTCAGCTTCGGGAGGCAGTAAGGTGCATACAGTGTGTATCTATTTTACACTGTCTGTCTCTTCCGAGTGTCACGTGTCTGCGCGTGCGCGACTACACCTTACGCGTCGTGTCAGTGCTCCTTCCCCTTCGTCTGGCACCCAGCGTGACCTTGGATTTCCACCTCACTTTTACAGCTCGGTTCCTCCTCAACACCTGCTGAAAAGCCAGCTTGACGCGTCTTCAACAGCAAGAATCACCACCGGATACGCAGCTTCCACCGGAGAATAATTCGAGATACGACCTTGGAAAACAGCTGCGTGCGCCTCGTCGCAGTCGGCAAAAGGAAGTTCTCTCGCCTGACATCCACTGCAACTGGACAAGGGCTCGCCTTCGCACGACACCTCTCCATCAGTTCTCCGACTCTCATTTTCCTCGGAATGTCTATCGTAGACCTCTCAGCCAGGGCTGACACCCCGTGATGCGTCGCATCTCTACCTGAATCAGGACATTGAGCTTGCCGCGGATGGAATCATCATGGCTTATGGTTGTCTATACCAGACAATTCAGTCCAGCTGAGAGAATGAGCTTCGGAACTTAACCCTAAGTATCCTTTTGGTTCAAGTCTTGCGCCCGCAGTCGTCGAATCTGTCTTTTAAATCCGCCCTGCTCCTCGATGCTACGCCGCTGAAAAGCGGTAACGCACTCGAGGGTCGTGGTGGATGGACTGGCAGGGAACACATTCCAGTCACCGTTTGGTGCGCGAAAGGGGGTTACTATGAGTCGTATGGGTAAGAGCCTCTGGTCTGAGGCCACTCGTCAGGACCTATCCGCTGGAACCAGAGCTCTGGCCAAGAATAGGTCGCCCGGAGAAGATGGCAGACTCGGCTTGCGGGGTCGAGCTGGCAACAGGCTATTGTCTTGGGGTGTTGCTACGGACAAGCGGAAGGAGCATTGCGTTTGCCACGAACGGTCAACATCGAAGTTTCAATCCATCTACAAGCAGCCTTGGACTCCACTCGCCGGTCGTACGAAAGTACTGCGATGTTTCCAGGCCTACAAACAGAAACTTTTCGATCTGACGAATCTCATCGCCACGCCCAGCTCTCGGCACCCACTTGTTCAGTACACCACCCCAGGACTCACTCAGCAGCCAAGAAATTGCCAGCATCAGACTCAGCAGCCAGTCGGCTTCTCTCCGAACCACACCCACGGCAGTTGCCACGGATGTGACATGTCCGCATGTGATCTGGCCAGGCGCATCAGCCTCCAGTCGTGGGTTCTATCCCACGGCACCGGGGGACGCCAAGTCCACGTTGATCCCGCCGGGACCCAACAGATGCCCGGTGATGTTGCTCTAGCAAGAAGCACCGGATGAGAGCGCGGTTTTTCATGGATGTCTTTTGTCCGCGCGGAATGCCCTCCATTGCGTTTCAAGCACGGAGAGGAAACAAAAACTAGTCCAAGGAGGTCGTGCGATTCAAACGGAGAGAGCTTCCGCCGAATGCCTGAGAGTACACAGACTGGGATCCAATTCGCCGAACTCCGGGTGGCTGTGTAAGTGACGGTTGTGGCTCGTGAGTGGGAGACAACTCGGGCGACACACGCAAAGGCTCTGGGTGGGAGGGATGGACTGGCTGAACAGAGTCTGAAGCGATACCGGGACCCATCTCGTGTTGGAGTCAAAGTTTTGTGCTTGTCCGGGATCGTGGAAGACCTGCATTGGTGGTCTATTCCCTGCCTCACCTAGGCCTCGGCACTCGTTGGACGAAAAAGGGCAGGCCTATGGACGGCAGTCCTGGTTGCCGTCTCTCCAGAAATGGCGAGATTGGCAACCCCCTTAACGCCTGGGGATAAGTCTAACCAAGATCCCCCAAGAGACAATTGATTCGGGTGCTAACATGGCTCAGGGCTGGGGACGGGAAATGAGTGGAGGGGAAAGGAGCTGGGTATACCATGGGTTGGTGCTATGCGCTCTGGGGTTTGATGACTGATAAAAAGAGAAACAGGAGATTGATCTAGACCACGGCGTCCAGACCTGATTTGAGGAATTTTTGAAATATCACAGCAGAGGCTTCACGGACAATCCTTGAAACGGACGCTGTGCACCGAAGAGAAGCATTTTATCTGACCTCAGACCAAGGGGCATCCCAATTATTCAGTGCCATTTCGATTGTGGCTCTGGGCTGCAGTAATCGCAGGTTACGCGCAGCTATTCGCTACAGCATGTGCTTATAGCCCCACCTAAGAAGCTTGATTCGCTGCCCCATTGTAGATCTGAAACCCACCAATGTGTCAATCCCGGACTACGCTCTTCCCAGCCACTTGACGTCACAATCTGCAAGCTAACCAGAACAGGCTTCATCTCACAGCCAACTCAGGGCAACTGGGAATCTGGGACAAGAGAAACAATGGGCTGCCACCTGCTATCTACGGAGTGCGGTCTACCTTAATTGAGCAGAGCTAAGCACGGTCATCACGCCTAAAGAGACTAGGTGGGAGACAACAACCGCCGATCTCAACATTCTCCCACCCATTCTTTTCTTTCTCTTCTCCGCGCCACAGCCGTTTCTTCCGAACAACCTCAGCACGGAGTAGTCGGTTTTGTTGGTTCTGGGCTGGTGCCTCGAGTTATTCCTCTGTGATTATCGTTGCCATTGTTGCATCTCTAGCTGCTGTCACCGCTCGGGACTGACATCATCGTCGCTACCTTACCAAACGCGGTGATCACAACATCGCAAACCACACAATCCCATTCCGCCATGGCCCTGTTCCGTGCAGCTCTGCTGCCTCTGGCGCTCCTCCCAGCCGTTCTGGCTGCACCTGCACCGGTCGATCCCGCCCACCCAATGATCACACCCCCGCCGACGCGTGTGAAAAGAGAGCCTAGCTTGACGGACGACATCGACAGCTATGTCCACAGTATCCTCGGTGATGCTTCCTCCTGGGTAGCTTCTGGCATTCCTGCATTCTTCCAGGGCTTCCCAACTGGCACCGCGGTCCTCAGTTCTCTCGGCATCAGCGATGGTGACCTGGATGCAAAGCCTACCCAGATCTTGAATCTACCGTGAGTGTCGACAACCTGTCGCTGTGTTTGTTTTCACAAGCTAATTATGGGTTTGCAGGGCCTACGGAAACTGGACCGACGAAGGATGGAATGTCCGCATTCACGGCAACGTCTTCAAACAGCCCAATATTAGCCAGTCCAAGGTCGACGACTTGGCCAATGTTTTCCTCATCGATGTCGACATCAAAGACCTGCCTGCCGACCAACAAACCCAGGCACGCAATGTCACCGAGTCCATTTTCGTCGTCCAGCAAGATGACCAAAATGTTACCATGAACTTCGTTAACGACGTCTCCGTGAGACCTGGTGCCAGCGGAGGAGCCGTCAATGCTCGTGGCGGCGCACAATCGATCAATTTGCCCTACTTGACAACGGCCGAAGGTGACTTTGACGCGTTTGTCAAGTTGCGCAACACCACAGGCTCGACGGGCGGCCACATGTTGCCAGGCAATGCCACATCGTCAATCCAGACTCTCAACATGTACGCCAACGGCACGTTGACGGGCAACGCGACAGCCTATCTCGTCCCTCCCACGGGCTTCACCATCATCTCCGACATTGACGACATTCTCCGCGTCACCAAGATCTACGAGCCCAAAGAGGGCCTGCTCAACTCCTTTGCGCGCCCCTTCACCCAGTGGGAGAACATGCCCCAAATCTACGCCAACTGGTCGGCATCCATCCCCGACTTCCACTTCCACTACTTGACTACGACCCCCGAGCAGGTTACCCGCAACTACATGGAGTTCATCTACAAGACGTATCCCCTGGGCAGCTTCGACACTCGTCCTCTCAACTTCTCTGATATCTCAGCGACGCTGTCCATCCGAAGATTCCTGCTTGACAAGATCTTCCAGACTTTCCCGCAGCGAAAGTTCGTCCTGGTAGCCGACACGACCAACTCCGATGTCATGAAGGCGTATCCCGCGTTGTACAAGGACTACCCGGGCCAGGTCCAGTGCATCTTCTTGCGAAACACCAGTGCCACCGACTCTGGCAACAAGTTCCCCTACAACACCGAGGGCTTCAAAGACATCCCTCAGAACAACTACATGTTCTTCAGAGTGCCAGATGACTTGACAAACCTGGACATTGTAAATGGGCAGTGTTATAATGCCACTATCCCGCAGAACGTCACTTTCAAGACGCAGGGCCTGCCGTTCGGGCTGGGCAACGCAGCTGGATCTCTGACGCCACCGAGCACGTGGGCGGTGGCCGTCGTCATGTTTGGTATGAGTTTGGCTGCCTTGTTGTAGCGGTAAGAGGGAGAGGAATACAATGAACACACACGAGTAATGTTTTAAAGAGGAATAAAGATTTCTAGTTTCACATCATGTTGCGGTGTAGGCCCTTTCACCGCCTGTGTCCTGTCTTGAAATATAACTTTTTTACGATATGCACCATCATGACACGAGCACGGCATTTCTTTCCCACCCCCAAAGTGAAGTCAAGCTAGACAAGTGGCCTATAAGCGTTCATCCCACCGCCAATGCCACTCGTCGGAGTTGAAGCCGGGCGGTATGAGTGTACGGTTTTGTGTCGCGGCCCGGCTGAGGCTGTGCTGCAGATTTTGGGTTTTCTGGTAGGTAAGGAAGGGGTAGGAAAGGGGAAATTGGTGGCACTTTAGTGGACGGCATTGAAACTCCGTCGGGCTTCTGGCGAGAGGGAGTTCTGACGACTTAGCATCGGGCTGTCTGTCACTGCTAGAAAAGGAGAAAACCTTCCGGGTTGCGACTTTTGCGCCGTCGTATAATTCGCATTTCCGCGGTAGAGTCTGCAGGTGAACCAACGCATATAAGATACATGCCTACCTGGTACGTACATGCATACAAACTCCATAAACGTACAGCCGAAACCGACTCTGGGATGCTGGTATTCTTTTTCCTCCCTACCACGCCTACTTGTAGACTTATACATTGGTTAGATGATGCTCACTCCCTTCCTCCCTCCCTTGTCCATACGTTCGTCGTCGCCCCTACACTCATTAACAGAACCAATGAAGGTGCATGCGCAACTCTTACAGCCCATGGAAACCTCAACACTACTGCTTATTTACGTGCCAATGAACGCGGGTTTGTTTACTGAACAGTGACGAGGCTATATGTAATACGAGCAGTCGGGCATGTCGGTTCTTTGCCGCCTACCTCATCTTAACCGATATCTTTTTTTGTAGGCAAGCCCCCATGTGAAAGAGGGGAAACTGGCCCGAAAGGGATGATGACATGACTTGAGGCGGATCAGTACGAGCACCACCAGTGTACCAGACAGCAAGCTTGGGTATAGAGGAAATCCCATAACCGTCGGAAACCGAAAACAGCTTCTTTCTTTCCGAGCGAGGTGCCTCGGGCCATATGCTCCGGGCCGATGAAATCGACCTGAACTTCCGGGGGCGAGAGTCGGGACGGGGGAAGGAGGTGGAAAAGACCAATGTGGACGCAGGATAAACGGCCTCGCATATCGGCTGCCTTGTCGCCGCCGCCGCCGCCACCACGTTATACACGCAACGCGAAGAGGTGCTGCGCCCAAGCTTCTAATGTCAATGGGGAATCAGATTAGTCAGGTGGGGGAGAAGAATAAGGAGCGGTCGATCGAAAGAGGCTGACAGGCATCAGCTGGGTAAAGTGAAGGTACTGTAGGTGTAGACGACGAAAAAGGTGGAGAGCCCTTTTTTTGTCAGAGGTTGGGGCGGGATAGGATGTCATAGGCTGGTGTGGAGGAGGGGATAGTCTGTAGATGTGCGTAGGGTTTGACATCAGATGAGATTGATTGTCAAGGACGATGAATGAGTCGGAGTTCGGATAAGTCCGTGGCGAAAGAGTCACGTTAGTCATCTGTGAGACTGTAGACTGTAGACTGTAGACTTTGTAGATGTATGGCGTATTGCATTCATCGCGTACACGTAGACAGCTAGCTAGTGGCAGCATCGTGAAGGAAGCCTCGTATAGAGCCGAAAACGACGTTGCCGTCATCGATAGCGTCAAGTGGCTGCTGGTCGTCGCATCTCACCTCACCTCGCCTCTGCCACTGTCTCTGCCTTGTGCCGCACAATAGCTGTGGTAGTCGTCGCGTGCGCCCGCCCCCCCCCTTCTTTCCCCTTATGATCTATCACAGCCACGATGCGTGCTGACATGGCTGTCTGCCTGTACTGGAAGAGTTCACCGCATCTTGGCAACCCACCTGACCTTATCGCGATTCAAGTGTGTGTTTGAATGCTTGGCCGCCACCCAGGGTCCTGATTTTGCTGCTGTGTGCCAGATAGTATCCCAAATATTCGACAATGTCTGGGTACGGTACCTTTGACGTGAAGGTAT